AAAAGTTTAATTAATTGTCATTGCGACAATTTTAAATAATATATATTCAAATGATAAATTTAAACATATTAAAGCTACACTGAGTGATTTTTACCCCCACCTAGCAGTGAAAAGGTATATGAGCATCCAGTGAATATTAGTTTCTATTCCTCTCAATTCCGATTTCGTTTTAACTCCTACGGTGGCCAATGTAGTCCAAGATAAACATGGCTTCCAGTTCGACCTCGTCCATGAGTGTTAACTCAAACGTAAACGCGAAAGGCAAAGCTTTACTTAACGGGTATGTCCCTCTTTGGTTAATGTACTTTCAAGATGGAGGGGCAACATGGCCCATACATTAGATCCCCTTACCCGTACGTATTTTCAATAGCATATTATACACTCACGAGAATACTTTATTACTTGAACAAAGTAAATATACATTAATGAGCGCATATATTTTTGAAAGAACCAAGTGTTTTTAGCTAAGAATATACTAAAAGAGTTACACAGTGTAGCTTTAATGGTTTGAATTCTTCCACCACTGGCATAAACTTGTGTATCATTCAAACCTGTGAGTGACTAAGGAAGAAATTACCACCTTGATTACATACTATATGCTCTTAAGGGACAAAAAAAGCAATCTTCAGCAATCAAATTGATGATATGTAATATACTCGAAACAATTTATGAAACATGAAGACGGTCAATTTGAGCTCACACAGGGATTTTTTTAATAAGCAATCTGTGCAATCAAGAGTTTTAGCAAATTGCAACAGTAAAAGACTGCTGCGCTTAAAGAAGACCGCTGTAATTGAAAGTGCGAGAAAATTAAGATTCAAACATCAGCATATTTCAGTTTCTCAGTGCTCAAAATAGTTGAACACTAGCACTGCTCGAATGTGCTCTAGATCAACTGACTTGAACAGTTCAGCACATAAGAGTGTCTGTGGGTAAATGAGGCCCCTTCTTTCTAAGCAGCACTCAAAGGGTCAACATCTGCCTTATTCTGGCTTGAATAAAGACATCAGCTTGTAGCCAAGGGGCTGCCAGAGATGTCCTGCCTGTTCCCAAGTACACACTTGAACATGAAAATGTGAACTGAACTGTAACTAGTTATCAGAGACACCACACAGTTTCCTGTATGTTAAGCAGTGTGGTGAAAACCCCATTTTACAAGTGATTTTAAAGGTGAAATGTGCTGTTTCTAAATTCTAATAATCCAGCACATTGCAATGCAATATTTATACTGCACCAGTCATGCAATGTTTCAGTTCCTTTATTGTAAAACAGCAAAGTCTACACAATGGGTGTGGTCTGTCATTCATATTGACATCTTGAATTGAATCTTTTAAACATGTATTGCGTCATCATCATAAGAGCGGTTACTGAAGCCTGTGAGGTGTGTAGTTAATGTCACATCACTGTCACATGTCTCAGAATTAGTGGGGACATTTTGAAACAGGTTGGACTGGCTAGGTTCAAGTGGGCATGTTCACACACCTGGATGGCATCCAAACACACACAGCACGCTGATTGAAAAGCTGGGACATAAAAGACAAACAAGTTCCCACAACTGATAAAACAACAAATTCAAAAGTGAAACAATTCAAAATTACACTGAACTTATGGCGAGTTGCTAAAACCAGAGCCAACACAACACGTTCTTGCCATAAGCAACAATAAAAGATTGCCCTAAAGTTGAATCTAATACAATAAAGTTTACAGCTGGCTCAAATCTTATGAGCCGATAGCATTTCAAAGTGAAGAGGAGGGATGGCTTGTGTCCAAGCAGGTCACAGATATCCCAATAGGGAGATGAGCATAAAAGCAGACCGCTCGGCTCCTTGGTTGGCAGCGGATGCGAGCTGAGATGAACTCATCTTCGTCACTGCATATGCTGCCGCTGGGCAGAGGCAGAGTGCTGAGAAACATAATACAACTAGAAAGACAACGGAACAGTTTAAGAGAAAAGCTTGAGTAAGAGTTGAAAGATTCGTGTGATCACACGTAGTATCCACCAAACAGTCACCGCTGGATTGTGATGTGTTACTCTAATTCCGAAACAGTCGAAGTAGGCCAAACTGCAAAAGAACCTCATACAGCCCACACTTTTTCCACACAAACTGGAAAAAAGGCCAGTCTGTTAATCAGATATATCTGGTGTTTCATATTATGAAAATGTATGCATAAAAAATGGCCAAAACCACTGATTTCTTTTTCTTTTTTTTTTCAAGATTTGCATGATCTCATCTGATTTCCATTCAGATTCGAACTGAACAGTAACAAAACAACACGCTGTTATATATGGGTAAGATGGGGAAACTGTATCAGGGTATGGAAGCTTGTTTTTTGCCACTGAATAAAAAATAAATAAAAAAAGAGGTATTTGCGACTTTATCACACAATTGCAACTTTTTTCCTCAGAATTGCATGATATAAACTTTTTTTTTTTAAAGAATTGTGGGATAGTCATAATTGCTAGTAAATTTGCACAAATTTGCTATTGCAAATTTGGTGTTCAAAGACGAGTTTTAAGGGATACAATTATTGATTACAGGGGGACTCCAATAAAAATGCAAGTTTATTGTTTGTAAGGATTTTTATGTATTGATTGTTTTTTTCATAGCCAATGTGTGAACAGCTTGAAATGAAACTTAAAAAATGAGACCTCCCCCGACTTCTTAAGTTGTCTATGAAAGCCTACAGACTGATTTTTACGCGAAGGACTCTAGACGTTTTTTGACAGGAAAATCAAAAGGATGTGGCTGGCGGTAACGTTAAATGACACATGAAATGGACACTTATTATTAACCTTTATTTACACTGTTTAGGTTAGAATAATATGCACACATAGCTCACATTATATGCAGTCATAGAAGCCATAATATTTTTTGTATATAATAAATGACTTGCACCTCAGAGCGGCCAGACGAAACGCAATAAACACGGTCATGTTATCTTGCTTTTGGAGGCAGATGCTGCTGTCTGGGAATGGAGTCATTGAAGTTGTGTTCTGGAAGGTAATTATACCGAACTGACGACAGACTTTGCCCGGGTATTTCAGAATGACCAAAACAGCATTTCAGATCCTGTGCACTGGTTGGTCCAGTTACGCCATTCCATCGCAAAATCAAATGTTTTTTTTTTTTTTATGCGCATTGAGAAATGTATTCTATATATGTATTCCATTGTAGATTATGCGCATGTTTTCTTATCGGATATCATCTGGATGTTCATTAACAGTATATCGCTGCAAAGGTATCACAAACTGCTTTAGTCTTATAAGCCAAGAACAAAAAAGAACTTCGCCATTAATATATCGGGTCATTAAATCACATTCAGTTTCTTGTACATTTTGTGTGCATGAACAATATGTTTCTGGCTGCAGTTCACATAACGGCCGCCGGTGTCGCTAATATCAAGGGTTTCTGAATTCTACACACAGCCCCTTTATGTAATATTGTTAGATACAACTTTTAATTTTAATAGTATTAGTAAATGTTGAAATTAACATTAAGAAAAGGAAAGGCTTTAGAAATATTTTGACTGCTATTAATGGAAACTAATGTTAACATATGGAACATTTTTGTTATTTTCATGAAGTGTAACCAAGTAAAAAAGAAGTAAATAAATGAACAACAATGCAATTATCATTTTCTGAATCTGTCTAAAATATCATCCATGTAAATTCTACAACAACAGAAAACTAAACCAAAGCAGCATTCACTCTGATGAATGAAAGATATTTAGTGCTACGCCAAAACTGCCATCAAATGTAAAAGAAAAGAAAAGATAATAAAAGAAAAACACTACAGCTTTGGAAATCAAATCCAGAGGGTTCACTTAGCAACTGATAAGGTGGGTACCAGAATAACCACTTCATTAAGTAATATAAATTAATATTTGTCTTCCTCCATCCCTGTTAAAGCCCTTTCAGTGCAGTTAATCCAGAAAGGCAGCTGGGAGTCCTCGTTCATTCAACTTTCCATAAATCCCTGAGATACAGGGGAAATACAAGATGAGAACCACATGTGAGAAGAATGGAGACAGGCCCGCCAGTGGAACTGATAAAAAGAGGAAAGGAAAAGTTCAAGCCATCCCAAATGTGATCCAAACCCCCACACTGACCGCACCTGTGGAGGATCAGGGGACGTGAGGGGCAGAGGGCTGCTGACGTGACTGAACTGAGGCGGATGAGGGCAGTGACAGTGCCACTGCTAATCCTGATGGTATGATCACCATTGAAAGAATCTGACCTCAGGTCAGAAGTTCATCACTAATGTGGATGATTTAACAGAGACATGGGCACGAGGAAGGAAAAGTAACCACTTCATAAATTTACAAGTTTAATTACAGGTATTTGAGGCTTCATTACTGTAGATCATCTGGTAAATTACAAATATAGTAAAGGCTAGAAATGTAGGTAAAATGACCCAAACCTTTTTTTTTTCTCCTTTTTTTTTTTTGAGAAGACACATTACTGTAATTTTATTTGGATTAAAGTGCCAGCTAATTAAATAAATAAATATAAATGTAACTAAATAAATGTAACCATTTACTAAAATGTTTTTAGTAAAGTTAGAAATTTAAAAATCATTGAAATCTAATAGGTTGAGCAGATGTACTGTAATTTTTTTGCAAGATTACATAGCAACTCAACATAGTGTATACTCAACATAGTGTATACTCAGTATAGTGTTGTGGAACTCTAAAATCATATTCACAACTTCTGCTTTTTAAAATAATTTCAGTATTTTATAATGAACACACATTATATATTGAACATAGCAATTTTTTGTTTTGTTTACCAAGTTGTCTGAAAGTAATAGAGCATCTGTCCTTCCTTAATATAAAATTTGTGTTCCTTAATATGAAATAAGACTAATAAGACACTACTGTAAGGGGGGCGGGTTCATGAAAAAAAGTCAAGCAATATAATGCATTCCAGCACACTTCATTGACATTATGTGACGAAAATATTAAACATACAATTTTCCTGGCCTTAGTTTTCAACTTACCTGTTTGAAATCGGCCACAAAAGTTATAAGAGTGCCATCTCCTTGTTTAAACTCCACAGTGATGGAGTCTTTTTCACTGTCCGCCTCCAGAAGTTCATCTGTGATCTGTCCATCGGCCAAACGAACCTTCACCTTCAGCTCAGAAGCAGACCCGAGAGTTACTGTCACATTGAGCAGCAAAACCAACACAGTAAACAGAACTGAACCCGGTGAAATCCACCTCGCACACATGCCAGATAATCCTAAAAGTCAAACTCCGGGCTCAGAAGGAGAATCCACAGGAATTACAGTCGCTGATGCGGTTCGACTCATTCCACAAGTCTTCAGACAGACTCCGCTATCTCCTCAAAACATCACAGCCGCTCCACTTTCACATATCTTCATACGTATTTCTTGGAAGCTGGATATACAAATGAATTCATAAAGTCCTTCAGAAACAGGTCTAGAGACTTTTCACGTTTGGCACATACATATTTCAGTGAGCCGCGTCACACACGGATCAATCTGGTGTTAGCACTCGTCTCGCGCCTCTCACTGAGGGAACTTTGATTCTTGAGCTCTTGTCGACTCGTGCCACTGACGCTCGCGTTCATTCAGTACACTGCGCTTCACGCTGACTTCATTCTTAGTTTCTGTTTTTCTCCTCTGGAGTTTTTTTCTCTCTCTCCTAGTCCTTGTGGATTCGTCACTTCCTTCATTATCCAAAGTGCAGCAGTCCAACGGGCTCTCAAAGTTTCGCAGGCAGCGCTCGAAAACTCTTAAAGGCGTAGCGCCCTCTCAAATAACCGTCAACTCAAGTCCTCAGACGTAGCTATTTCTATTCTAGAATTTCTAGCACTTAGGCTAACTCTTTATGTAGCCTAATGTAAATGATTTACATATCTTATTCATTAACAAAGAATGCCTGTATATTTATGTACATTTTCAATATATTATTTTAGCCTATCCGTATTAAACATAGGCTAATTATACAGTACATTATCACATTCAGTTTAATTTATTTCTTATTCTGATTTAATAATAGAGTTACAAGAGAGTTATCAAGTGCCAATATTATTGTTAGACTGATATATGGTTCTTAAAGTTTAGGATTTCAAAAAGTCAACTTTTTAATAATAAAAAAATAGATAGCCTATTTAGAATTTGTTAGCCTCCCAAGAAATTCATGAAACAAAACATGTTTGCTCAGAATGACTTGTTTTCTATATTTACAAAGTTTGGAGAAGTTTGGACTTTGATGGACTCACATGCGACACAGGCTAGTCATATGAGTCATATCAGACACATAAAAAAAAAAAATCAAATCTGCTATAGGCTAATTAACATTCTTTTGCTATAACATTTTACCAGCATGGTCTAAAGCTGATGTGTGTAAAGTTTGGTGAAAGTCTGACAAACGGCCTAGGTTTTTTTTTACAAAATAAAATGGCATAAATTTTGATGATAAAAACTAGATTTGCTATTGTTGTGGCTTAAAGCAAGAAATTCAGAAGAAACAAGAATTTTGATTCCGTCATACACAATTGCGGAGTTAATAGCTCTAATGTAAAGTAAGCATAGCGTATTATAGCGCGACCTTGAGGTCGATTTTAACTAAATTTGGTACATATATTCATTTTCACACAATGTACAAATACACATTAAGGCCATTCAGATTTGCTGTTAATAAGCTGCTGAAATTTGATTGACTGCTGGTGACCATGTTTTTTGTTTGTTTGTTTTTTTAGGTATCCTGGTCTATGAGTTAGGGCGTCCACCAAATAAGATGCATACCCAATATTACATTTTATGGATTTATTATATACCACCTAGAGTCAGACGGGTGTGTGTCTGTGCGTCTAAGTAGGTAACTATTTTTTACTGTCTTTGACACACATACACTTTTACGCCCATAAACCATGCAAAAATAAGGAAGGAGAAGAAGACAATCAAACACAATAATGGTTCCAGCACCTTTAGTGTATTTAATACTATAAAGCTTGACAATAATTGTCAGAAGTTTAAGTTTTATACAAAATCTCAAAAAAGTTTGTATAGGCCTATGTGTTTTATATTTTCTGTGACTGTCACATCAAGCTTTTATGGCCCATATAGTATAATATAGTGATAATATGGAGCATTTACTTGAGGAAAAAGAAAAAAAACAAACAATTTCAACAAAAATACTAAATTTTGTGCAAATGTTGTTATGTCTGAACCCTTAGATGATATTCTTATAGCATTCCTGCATACGTCACCAGAAAGAAGTATAGTGAATTTTTGTTTGACGCTGACTCTAACAAAACTAGAGTAATGATTTCCATACACCAGACTTGGAAATGTTCACGGTTCTAGAAGTGGCATATTACACCATGAATTACCTCTTGAGTAGAGGATCCTCCAGCTGTGGCTCATCATTGCTCTTATTTCCAGGTGATGTGTTTCTTACTGGGTGGCCCAAGTATGTGACCTCCTTAGGGTGAACATCACCTCTGGGCACTTGTGCTGGAGACCTTTACCGGAGGAGAAAGCAAATAAAAAGCCTGTGGTCTTGAGTAAACACTGTCAGCTGGGTCAGGACACTGGTCAATACAGGTGATGTATTGGAGTGAAGTTCAGGTAAACATGTCCTTTTGTGACTGGCTAAACTAAACCATTTACAGCTTTGGAGGAGGTATAAAGAGAGAGAACGGATATTAGTCACTGCCGTTTGACCAGCTGTTACTTCACTTTGTTTTGTATGTTTGCATCAACATTGGTTGTAAAAAAAAAAATGTTAAATGACTATTATCCTGATATTGTTGTATCTGCCACCAGACAGAAAACATTTTCTTGCTTTACATGTTTTTTTTTTTTTTATTTTATTTAGAAAGGAAATCATGGATCTAGTACAGTCTTTTTTTTTACAAAGTTTTGTAGTACAAAGTGTCATTTGGAGTGCTGTGGTAAGGTTATAGTTTATATATGTAAATCATTAACAAGACATTCACTAATTTAGCTCTCAGAGGCATACACAGACACACACACACAACACTGCACTGGAACTGGCCTTTGTTCACTGCTACATTGGCACCCCTAAGCATCACTAATAACACAAAAAAGCAAAATTAAAAATATGTCTAGTTCAACTTTTGTCATCGTATACCACTAACATTGGTGGATGTTTCATTTGTTCCTTTTCTTCACTTATTTAAACATTTCAGCTGCATGCTTTTTCAGTGAAGAGCTACTTTTTCCAGTACCGTGACTTGTGATCTTTTTGTGATGTTTCGTAAACAAAACTTAAAGAGTAAGTTCACCCAATAATAAAATCATCCCATAAACTCACCCTCAAGCCATTCTAAATGTATATGACTTTCTTCTTTCAGCCAAACACAATCTGAGTTATATAAAAACTATGCTGGCTCTTCCAAGCTTTATAATGGGAGTAAATGGTACCTGAGATTTTGAAGCCCAAAAAAAGTGCATCCATCCATCATAAAAGTAAGCCATACGGCTCCAGGGGGTTAATAAAGGCCTTCTTTTTTTGTACGAAAAAAAAATCTTATTTGTAACTTTAAATTATAGGCTAAACACTGGCTTCCAGTAAAATATGTGAATAGTTTTAGATTGACCAGAGTGACCTCCAACCCGACACATGATGTACTGATGAACGCAGAAGCGCAGAGGATAGTGCAAAACAAAACAGTGGTCATACAATTAGAAGTTTATTAGAATATACAGTTAGAAGCAAATTAGAAGTCTATTAAACGAGAAATAAATAAAAAAATGTCAGAGGATTTCAATATAAGAAAACAGGAGCAGTGATTTTAGTTTATAAATTTCTCACTTTTTCAAAAGGTTAGCTTCACTATGCTGCTTTGTATATAGCTTCAGAACTTGAGGACTGCAAACACTTTTCCAGTGTGTGCAGATTAAAAGTATAGTTCCCCAATATTGTGCCAATCAAATGCTGTTGCGTGCCAGACCATTGGTGTGTTTGATCATGAGAGAGTGTGATGTTTGTTGTCTCAATACCTAGAGCAATGACAGAAATACGATGAGTAGGACATGCACCGACGAGTCTAGCCACTGTTTTTGTTCCATTGTAATCGCCATACGCCACCTTAGAATCATCGTGTGCATTCGTCCCTATTCAAAGATTTAGAGCTCACACATACACATGTATGTAATACATGCCTAGGCATAATGAGGTGACAACCAGGTAACCCTTCACATAAATACATCTTGTATGTTTTTCCCCCAGACTGCCTCTTAACGGATATGCTCTCTGTCTAATAAGCCTGCAAAGAATGAAAGGTCTGCAGGTGCATTCATTCAAACTGAATACCTCTAAAACTTCACAATGAGGTGTTGCAATGACACAATAACTTAATAACTAAAGCATTCTGCCATGTATTTCCTCTTCTTTCAAAGCAACAACAAATAAATGTTTGTCTTAAGAAAATATCCTGAGAAGGTTTTCCTATGTAATGCTGGTGTGTGGTATTTGGGTTAAACATGTATCTGAAGATTGCTAATGCAGAATTCCTCACAGAGGATTTACACCACAAAGGAGATTTTGGACTGGTTCAGGAAGATTTAAGCTTAACAAGTGCCATATTGAGAGGAAATAGTGTCATACGCTTTAAAACAGTACGATTTTGGACATTCTTGTTGAGCCATGTTGACTACAACTGTGACAATGAATTGTGCTTTAAACTTGATTAATTCTACAATTAAGCATTCAAATCCTCTTCCTGGTGGTTAGATATAATGAAAGTATGGACATTGAGCTCTTCAGCTCTCAAAAACACACCCTATACATTAGCAAATCTGTTGATGTTTTTTTTTTTTAAGTCCCCTGATTATAAATCATGTTCTTTGAATAACTTTTCATTGGATTATATGTAAAATATAAAAAGTTGAAACTCATTATAATATGCAAAACTGTTATCCACTCACAGCAGTGGGCGTTTACTTCCAAGTCTTCGGTGTGAGATGCAAAAACTGAGCGTTTTTTGAGCTGGCTCAAAACTAGGGTAGAAAATAGCCTATTACTTATTCATTTTGATGTTTTTGAATGTAAACTCCAAGCGAACTTCATAAGTTGACCTCAGACAATAATAAAATTTAAAAAGCCATTTCATGACCCCTTTAACATTTTTACTCCGTTTACAGAACTTGGCAGAAAAACTCATTCCAAGCTGCATACAATATGGATGAGATTTGAATTCTGGAGCTTGATTATTATTTCAGAGCAACATAAAGAGGGATTTACATATATTAAAAAGTCATTTTGGCTTGGTTTGAGCCACTTCCATACAGTGGAAATATCTGTCTGCCCAGTTTGGTCTGTGGATCCTGATGGAGGGGTATCCCGTTACAGGTATGTTTCTGTGAGGGCACTTCAACCCCTGGAGTAAAAGCACAAATGGAGAACAGGACTCGATCCATAAGCAATGTCTACAGACCCACTCTCATTGTGTGATACTATAATGAAGATTGGATTCGTCGTGTGGGTGTGTGAGTAAACAGCTCAGGGAGGTCTGAGCGGACACAGAATGCCAATCCAATGCCACAACACTTTCATCTACACCAAGAATCCAACATCTGCACCGCACATGCATGTCACATTCCCTGTTTCAGCAAACCGTGACAACTGTGTTAGGCCTTCAAAACAGAGATGAAACTCTATCCCAAGGACGTTTGCTGGGTTTCAAAGCAGGAGCATTAAGGATAAGTAAGAGCTAAAGCTAAAGCTAAAAT